TTTTTGTATTTTTTAGTAGAGACGGGGTTTCACCGTGTTAGCCAGGATATTCTTGATCTCCTGACCTCGTGATCCTCCCGTCTCGGCCTCCCAAAGTGCTGGAATTACAGGCTTGAGCCACCGCGCCCGGCCCCTTATGGTTTTCTTAATGACATTTTCTTTTCTCTGCTTTATTGTAAGAATGCAGTATATAGTATTATACACTAACATACAACATATGTGTTAATCAACTGTTTATGTTATCAGTAAGGCTGCGGTTAATAGTAGGTTATAAGTAGTGTTAGGTTTGGGGGAGTCAAAAGTTGTGTGCAGATTTTCAGCTGCACAGGGTGTTAGCGTCCCTAACCCCTGCATTATTGAAGGGTCAACTGTAGGGGTGTGTATATATACACACATTTTGCAAATGACATATGTTGTTTTTGGAGGCATATATACACACACACACACACACACACACACATATACCTTTTGTATATAACATATATTAATACATAAATGCATCGTTTGTATGTAGTACACATACATAAATGTATACATGCGTCTTGAAAACACTACGAAAGCCCCAAATCACCATTCACAAAATATCAACAGAGTATATCTGGTTGTGTTAACTGCCAGAACTCACCTGCCAAAATGCCTATCTTCCTTCTCCTGACCTCAAATCCCACCTTGTGCACCAATTTCTCTTTGTCACACATCTTTTCCTCTCCAATAATTCTGGATTTTATAATTACAAAAGGAAACCACGACGTTTTTATAAAATGCCCAAACATAGAAGCCTAGAGTAAAAACTGAACAGCTCTCATCACCCTAAGCCCCACAATCCTACTTTACTCTCAGGAATCACATTGTTAACCATTCTATTATTTCTAGACCTTTATCTATGAATTAACATATATATTTCAGACCAGAAGATATGTTTTTTTATACACATCCATGGGATCATACTGGAGTTATTCTACAACTTACCTTCTTTTTCACTCAACAGTATGTCTTCAGGGTGTATCTGATTCTCCTAAACTCTCTTGTCACTTTCTATAGTATAAATACATCGGACCTTACTTAGCCAGACCCTACTGATAGAAATTTATGTATAACTTTTTGCAGTTATAAAGTATATAACAATGAACATCCTTATTTGTGTCCTTTTTTGGTTGACTTTCCTTTTTTAGTTCCTTTCTCTTACTAGTTCCACTCTTAGTCTGAGTCCATAGTTCATGACAGCCTCATTATTTCCAAGAGAATAAAACTATATAAGTTATGGTTTATTCTCAATTTTCTACACATATCTTTTGTGTGTTTGGTGAGGGGAGATGATTATAGATGTGAAACCACATGAAAAATATGGAGTCTCAAATGGTAAAGCAGTAGTGATTACAGGTGGTTTTGTTTTTAATTTTTTAATTTTTTTTTTTTTGAGACGAGTCTCGCTCTGTGGCCCAAGCTGGAGTGCAGCAGGGCGATCACGGCTCACTGCAACCTCCACCTCCCAGATTCAAGCAATTTTCATGCCTCAGCCTCCCCAGCAGCTGGGATTACAGGTGGGCACCACGCTGGCTAATTTTTGTATTTTTAGTAGAGACAGGGTTTCACCATGTCGGCCAGGCTGGTCTCAAACTCCTGACATCAAGTGATCCACCCAACTCGGCCTCCCAAAGTGCTGGATTGCGGTGTGGGCCACTGTGCCTGGCCGATCCCAGTGTTTTTTTTTTTTTATAAACAAGTTAAAGTCAATAGTTCAAAGAGAATGACCTTATTTGGAGCCTCCCATACATGGAATGACCTAAGTGAATTGAGCAAAAACCAACTTCCTCATAAAAAGCAACTGTCACAAGCAGGTGCTTGCTTCACTTCCTTCTAGAAAAGTGTTGTTGCTTCACAAAAATAACCAGCAGGTGCTGCTTTGCAAGGTTATAATATCAAAGCATTGAGAGTTAGAATAGGCCCATAATATATTCACAACCAGGTCTAAGGTCACAGCTGGACAGTGGCAGAGAGAGGACAAAAGGCCAGGTCGGACACTCACCAGGAGTATGAGTTTCTCGAAGAGGCAGATTGACACAGAGGAGAAAGTAATGATTGGAAACCATCAAAGTCCATGCAGTAGTGACAGGAGGTCAATATCCCCATTTTTTATTTTACCTTTAAGGCAAAAAACAATTTGCCAGGTGCTATGATACCATTGCCAGGTATGTCACTTGTTTCCACATTGTTTGTAGTGTGTTATTCAGTTAAGAAATATTTATTGAGCATCTACTACAGGTCTGGCATTGTTTTTGTTTTGGTAGCACTGGGGTAACAGAGGGGACTAAAATGAGCTTCCTGCCCTTCCTCAGCTTATGTGCTGGTGGAAGGGAGATAGTGAATGGACACACATTTATACCTTCAGATATACATACATTTCAAGGATTGATAAGCAGAGGTAATACAGGTCTAAGCAACACTTAGCATCTTCTCAACATACTTCCTCCCACTGTCACAAAGGGGGCCCTTTGAATCAGAGATACTTAGGTACAAAAAATAAAATCAAAAACATTTAAAGGAAGAGATCTCAATCTCAAAGCTTACCATCATTCCTACTGAGATTTTCCAGCTGGGATTAAAAGGTAAGCACAGGCCAGATTACTAGTGAACATACAAGCTGCAGCAAAGGCCCTAGACAAACAAGAGACTTCAGGACTCCTCCAGCTAAGTCATTGTGACATCAGAGTCAGTGGCCCCATCGAGAATGATTGCATCACTAGAGCCACCACACAGACACAGTATTAACAGCAAAGATGCAACTTCTGCAGGAGGGACAGATGCCTCAGTGCCACCATGACACCTACAGTGACCTCACAAAAGTCTTTCAGATCATAAGTAGTTAGCACTTTGAGGGCATGGCAGCTTTAGCTCCCACGACGTAAAACACTCTTGAAGTTATTTCATGAACAGGCAAAAGTACATCAGATTTAAGATTTAGGATTTTCTATGCCCCAACCCTAACTGCCTATTGAATACACAACTGGGGACATCAGAGTAAAGACACATCTTTTTTTTTTTTTTTTGAGACGGAGTCTCGCTCTGTTGCCCAGGCTGGAGTGCAGTGGAGCAATCTCAGCTCACTGCAAGCTCCGCCTCCCGGGTTCACACCATTCTCCTGCCTCAGCCTCCGAGTAGCTGGGACTACAGGCGCCCACCACCACGCCCGGCTAATTTTTTGTATTTTTAGTACAGACAGAGTTTCACCGTGTTAGCCAGGATGGTCTCGATCTCCTGACCTCGTGATCTGCCCGCCTCGGCCTCCCAAAGTGCTGGGATTACAG